CCCCAAAACCCCAAAACCCCAAAACCCCATAAGCCCAAATCCTAATATTAAATCGATTTATTATCTATTTGTGTGATTTTATATAAAATAGAAAGTTCAGTATTTAATATTCTTTTCAGTATATACTGCAATAGTACAGAATGCTAACAATTAATGATAATAACTAGCCTTAACTTCTATGCTAATTCAATCTGACTCATCACTCTAATCAGATCTTGAGTCATCTTGATTATTTAAACGTTTAAATTAAGATATCCTCCTCGCTCTATAACTATCGTTCTACTTAGGCAATTCTAAAGTCTAGCTCTTTTTTGTCTTCTCTTTGAAATTATTTACTTCGATAATTAAGTCTCCTCTACTTTTTGCTTAGTGAAAAGAGTTATCTACATGAGCTTCTTGCTCTGAAATTAAATGTTCTTTCACTTCTTCAAATGGAATATTTATTGAATCTTATTTGTAATTTGGGGAGCCTCTTCTCTGAAATGCTTTGTAAAGAGAATTACCTGAGCTCTTAGAAGATTCATATTGTCTTTCAAATTTCGCATTTTAGTAATTTAAGCTCTCTACATAAGATTCAAAGTACCTAGAGTTCATAGAATTTTTATCCTCACGCTGAATAAAAGATTCCTTTTTAGCATGCTTATGAATGGTTAGTATGCTATCAGGTGTAAGCAGTTTTCCTTAGATTTCTATACGCATAGGTGATTTGCTTTAATAGGCCCTCTTTATTGCCTCTTAATTAATCACTAGTGATGGCCAGTTTTGGTTAGATTTCTCCCTAGTATCATTTGAGGCATTGTGCTTGTTAGTTAAAGGACAGGCATCATATCTATATCCTTAATCTGAAGCTCTAAAAATGATTTAATTGTTAATTAAAGACGTATTCTCCTCCTGATAATTCAATTAATCTTTTTGTATTTATTGGCTTCTGGAAAATATATCGGTGTTTATATTGGCGAACTAACGCTTGTTTCAATCAGAAAACTTTAATTTTCTCAGGCACTATTTTTTAATTTGCCTTTTAATCTATTTGACATCATTAATTTTAGCCTCTTCATTGATTCTATCATTGTCTTACATATGCGTCGAAGAAATATTTGTGACATGATAGTTCATGCATTATCCATCCGCATTAAACTAAATGTTGCTATCTTTCTGCATAAAGTATGAACTAAATGAATATTATTACATTCAAAATGTCCCAGTCATAGATTTAATCTGGTATTAGATCTTTATCTAACAAAATTTTAAGCATAATGTGTTTTAGATAGCCATAATCAGGTTTTTCATCGTAGTTTAGACGATCAGCATAAATCATGAATGGTAATAAAACCGCTAATTCAGAATTATGATATTAATTTTTTTTACATGCACGTTCTCTACATATCTCTTCTGGTTTCATTTTAGTCTTAAATTTAAAAATACTATTATACTGATTTTTCAATGGTACATTGCTCTTTTTAACCCAAGGAACTTACCCATTGAAGAGGAAAAGTAAAAGATATCCCAATGAAATTATGTCATCTCTCCTGCTTTGTGCTAAATAGAGAATTTAAAATAAAATTATACTCAATTCTAGAAACATATGCTTGCTACAAAAAATCAGGTTGCCGTTAAACTACTCATTGGTTTTCATTTATTTGTGATTAAGTCCATCTTTGTCTAGATAAGTTTATGAAATTCCGAAATCTATCAAGTAGAGCATAGACTTAGTCGAATTTTTATTTGATACTTTTTCTGTTTGGATTAATATATTATCTGGCTTTATATCAAGATGGAGATACCCTAATTCGTGCAGATCCTTAAGTCTATTAAGCTATAGGAAATTAACTTTACAATGGCAATGATTTACTATCTATATTCCAATTTGACAAACAGTCTTAGTTGAAAACACATTTCTCCTACCTTTAATAACATCTTTCAAGCTTTTCTCAAGCATTTACATAACTATGTATTCTTTTGAATTATCCATTATCCCACTGCAAAAATATTTTGGAAATCCTATGCAGAAATATTCTCAGTATATAAAATTACCTTTGAGATTTTTATATTCTATCTCTCTCATAATATTGCTTTCATTGCTGTTCACGCCCTCTTAAGTATTCTATTATTATGTTTTTTAGTGAATAAATTTGGAAAGATTATTTAGAAAAGAAGGGCGAACTTACAATTTTTATTGCAACTATTTGTTAAGTTTAAATGTCAACTCCCCTATAAACAACTCCAAACCCTCCTTTTTCTAGCAGATCTAGAATTCTAAATCTTTCTTCAATCAATTAATCCATCTTCAAGTCTTTTAGCTTCTCTTTTAATTAATATTTACTCTGGAGTTAATAAGTATTCTGCTATAAAATACGTATATAAAAATAAAGTCTAACTCTTGAAATATTAATAGTTGAGGTTATCATCAAAAATAATATAATTCAATTTATTCTTTTTATCAATTTTTTCAAGGTTAGAAGAAGTACGGGGTTTTGGGGTTTTGGGGTTTTGGGGTTTTGGGGTTTTGGGGTTTTGGGG